CTCAAGACGGCCCACACACCAGAAACCCCCAAGAGCCCTCCAAGAACGTCCCCAAAAGGCATCCAAAGCGATTCCCAGCATGGTTATGCCAGGCTCTTAGGGACTCTAGGGCATATCCCCCCGTAGGCTGCCCTGGGTCCTCCTCGTGGCTGCCTTGCGTGCCTTCCTGGAGCCTTCTTCAGCGACTCCTGAAGCGTCCACCAGGAAGTCCGCCCATGTATGGTGATCCTTTGCGGGGTGATGTCTATCATCATCCGATCCTGTGAGGTTGGCTTGGGGCGCGTGCGAAGCGCTCGAGTGGTTCTAGTGTGTGTGTGTGCATATATATATATAGAGAGAGATGTGTGTATATATAAATATATATATATATATATATATATATATCGGAGGTGAGGGGGGGAGATCGAAGTGGAACGGAGAGCCCCCCCACCGGGAAATCGATTTCGGTTTCGTGTTCGTGCGTGCCGTGCGGGCGAGGCGAAGCTGCGTGGGCGGGCGAGAGAAAGTCTCCTGTGGCTGAGGCGCGGCTGGACCAAATGTCTCCCTTCCGGGCGGCCAGGGGCCCGCGGTGTCCCGCCCGTGTCCCGCTGGTGCCCCGTGTGGTTGAGGCGCGGCCGGACCAAATGACTCCCTTCCGGGCGGCCGGTGGCCCGCGGTGTCCCGCCCGTGTCCCGCTGGTGCCCCGCGGTGTCCCGCGGTGTCCCGCGGTGTCCCGCGGTGTCCCGCCGGTGTCCCGCGGTGTCCCGCGAGGATGATGATGATGATGAGATGATGATGGTGATGATGATGATGATGCTGATGATGATGATGATTAGATGATTAGATGATTAGATGATGATGATGATGATGATGATGATGATGATGATGATGATGATGATGATGATGGTGTCCCGATGAAGATGATGATGATGATGATGATGATGATGATCATGATGTTGATGATGGTGTCGATGATGATGATAGTGTCCCGATGATGAGGATGATGATGATCATGATGATTATGTTGATGATGATGACGATGATGGTGTCCCGATGATGATAATGATGATGATGATGATGATGATGATGGTAATGATGATGATGATTCCGATGATGTTGGTGATCATGATGTTGATGGAAATGGTGTCCCGGCGATAATGATGTTGATGATGATGATGTTGATGATTATGGTGTCCCGATGATGATGTTGATGATGATGGTGATGCTGATGGTGTCCCGATGATGATAATAATCATAAGGACGATGTTGATGATGCTGTTGCTCATGATGATGGTGGTGCCCCAATGATGATGATGTTGTTGATGCTGATGATGATGTCGATGATGATGATGATGATGCGATGATCATGATGATGATTGTGTCCCGAGGATGATGACGATGTTGATGATAATGTTGATGATGAGAACGATGGTGATCATGATGGTGTCACGATTATGATGATGATTATGATGATGCTGCTGATGATGATGGCGATGACTGTGTCCCCATGATGATGATGATGTTGATGATGAGATGATGATGGTGATGATGATAATGATGATGTTGTCCCGATGATGATGCTGACGTTGATGATGATGTTTATGATGATTATGATGATGATGATGATGATGATGATGATGACGGTGCCCTCATGATGATGACGATGTTGGTGATGATGTTGATGTTTATGATGTTGATGATGATGAAGATGATGATGATGATGATGATGATGATGATGATGATGATGATGATGATGATGATGATGATGATGATGACGTTGATTGTGAGAGCGATTGTGATATCGATAGTGAGATCGATATTGAGACCGAATGTGAGATCGATTGTGTGATCGATTGTGAGATCGATTGTGAAATCAAGTGTGAGATCGATCGAATGAGATAGATCGAGTGAGAGCGATTGTGAGATCGATCGAGTGAGATCGATCGAGCGAGACTGATAGTGAGATCGATACTGAGATCGATAGTGAGACCGATCGAGTTTTTCCAACGGACTTCCAAATTTTCCCAACCAGCCACCCGCGCGCCGAACGATTGGCTGAAACGCTTTTCATGGTTTCCCGACGGCTCAAGGCGCCTGAGGACGGCTCCCGAACGGCCCCAAACGGGCCCATAAAACTCCCAAGAGCGCCGCGACATGCAAAAATGAGCGTTTTCCCGATGGTTTTTGGCAGATGTTGACGTCCTCGTCATTCCAGACATCCTGCATCCTACGACGGCCCAAGAGGTTTCTGAGATCCCCCAAGATGGCCCAAGAGGGCCCCAAGACGGCCCCGAAACGGCCCAACGGATACCCCAGACGCCCAAGTTGGCTCCAAGACGGCGTGCAGCGCGCCCCACAGACGCCCAGGGGCACGCCCAAGATAGCCCCACGGGGCACCCGATGGCCCAAGAGGCCCCCAAGAGAGTCCCACGACGGCCCAAGAGGGCCCCAATGCGGCCAAGAGGGGCCCCAGAGGGTCCTTCAGGGGCCCAAAGGAGCTCCAAGAGGCCGAAGAGGGCCCTCAGAGGGCTCCAAGACAGGATGGATCCCAATTAGATATTAGCCGGGGTTTATAATCTCCCAGGATTATTGACCCGGGTTCATAATGTCTCCCCCGGAACAATATGAACCTGGGCTTCAATGTTCTGGGAATATTGACTGGGGTTCATAATGTTCCCCCCGGAACATTATAAACCCTGGTTTATCAAGTTCTGGGGAGATCGACCCAAAAAACATATTAACTTGGCTTCATAATGTTCTGGGAATATTGACTAGGGTTTACAATGTCCTGGGAATAATGAACACAATTTTCGTAATTCCGGAATGATATTAATTATTATTTTCCCCCCAACCCCCGGGTTCCACACCAGGTTTTTCATGTCGGAATATAGGCCCCGGTTCATTATCTCCAGGAGATACGAAACCCGGATTCATAATGTTCCAAGAATATGCCGTTTGCGAGTACGTTCTGGACTGAAATAAACCCTGGTCCAGAATGTTGGAATATTAACTAAGGTTGATTATTCCGGAAAGATAGTGATTCGGCTGGGGGGGGCTGAGCCAGATCCATTCACAGGACAATAATACATAGGGTATCCTCTGAAGATAATGAACCTAGGTTTTCATTCCTATTCCTAGATAATCAACTACGGTCGACGAGGATTTCGGAGGTGGCCTCCTCCAAGACGGCCCCATCCCCCCAGGACGGCCCAAGAGGGCCCAGGACAGCTCAAGAGGGCCCACAGCCGGCCCAACAGAGCCCAAAAGGACCCCCAAGAAAGCCCAAGAGGCCCCCAGAGTTTCCAAAATGCTTCCAAAAAACTCCCAGGAAGCTCCCAAAGAGGCCCCCGATTCACGATTCATTTCAGGGCTCCAAGAGGCCCCAAAACCAAACGCCGCCAGGCCCCGAGAAGCACCACCAACGCCCCGGACTCACGATCCAGGTCAGGGGTGTGCCGTGGGCGAGGTGGCGGGATGCGAACCTTGGCTCTGGGGCCGTCCGTGCAACTCCTTGCGGGGTACGATCCGTGTGAGGACACAGTCGACATACGCCGGGGGACGTGACGTTACGCGAATCGTCTGACTATGGCCGCACGTGAACTACATCCCTCTGGGACACGATCCGTGTGACGGGTTGCCGGGACAGGCGGAACGACGCCGTGCGAACTTTGACATTGGACCCGCAAGTGGAGCTCCTGGGGGGACGCTGTGTGAACCCTGTGTTCCTACGGGGCCGTAGGATTACCGCTTGCACTTTCTTTCAGCTTTCGCACAGCCCTCTTCTCCTCCTCCCCTCCTCCCCCTCCTCCTCCTCCTCCTCCTTATTCTTCTCCTCCTCCTCCTCCCCTTCCTCCTCCTCCTCTTTCTCCTTTTCCTCCTCCTCCTTCAGCCCCCTTACGCAACTATTTTCCTTGAAAGCCTTCTGAATTGCGGGTTGACGTGCATGGACTTTTCACTGCCCATAATGCTTTCAGCGTTAAGGGCATTTCTTCACTTCCCGTTCAAACCATTTGTGGTCCATTACTTCAGTGGCGCAATGAACTCGGAAAGGCTTGGGGCCTGCTAGATCCTGAGCGCGCGCGAAGCGCGCGCGATGGTTCTTGTGTATTTGTATATGTGTATATTTACATATCTCTATATATATATATACATATATATACACATAGACACGCAGACACACTCGTGGTGGGGGCGTGCGTTATGGAATATGCCCAGAAGACTTCAGACCATGGAGGATGTCTTATCTGACGAGTGCGGCGATGATGTGCATGGCCAAGCCCCAATTGGCGTTCCACCGGCTTTTAGACCATGGATTCCTTATACAAGGATTATGTCTCTAATACCTTTGCCGTGTACATGTTTCCCTCAGCAGTGCTTGCACTGAAGGGGTCCTTGAGGATTTTGGTAGCCGGCTGGGTTCCCGGGTTCCAGGTTCCAGGCTCTTGGTTCCCAGGTTCCCGGTTGTTGGTTCTGTGCCGATTTCGAGATCCCATGATCGAGCTCACCATCGATCTCATGATCGATCTCACAATCCACCTTTTGATCGATCTCATGACTGAGAATGCCACAACATTTCTAACATTTACAAAGAATCCGTCTTTATTGCCTCTTCGGGCCATACAGCGAAACTGCGGCCAGACATGGTACCTTCCAAATTGTTCAAACCATCCAGTGGTTTGTTTTTTCTTTGGCGGAATGATGAACACACACATACATGCATACATACATACATGCATACATACATACACACATACACACATACATACAGACAGACAGGCAGACAGGCAGACAGACAGAGTTACATACAAACATACTTACATGCATACATGCATTCATGCACATAGTCATACATACAGACATGCAGACAGACAGAAACAGACAGACAGACACATACATGCATATATATATATATATAAAGATATGTACATATAGGCGTCTGTGCCTGTACATACACATATCTACATACATACAAGCAAACAAGCGAAACAAAACTGCAGGCACTCACCCTCACCCTAGCCGAGGTCGGCGCGGCCCCCGCGCGGGCTCGGGAGCGACTGGCTGCTGTCGCCGAGGAATCCCGCGGCCGTCCCCTCGCCCCTCCCTTCCTCCATCCTCCTCCTCCTTGTGCAGAGCGGTGCTGCAGCATGTCATCCTGATGGCGTGCCGCCTCCTAGCGGCGGGAGTGTCCTTGCCGATGCACGAATGGGGAATGTGGATGGCACGCCACTTATTTCAAGGCTCTGTGGTGGGTTGAACCAGTGCGTAATTGAGCTCCCAGGGTGGCGGCGCCGGCGTCAACTTTCACTGGCCTGCTGGGGCTCAGCCGTCTGTGCCGCGTGAACGACATAAGTTGAATCCTCCCTCTCCGCATCCCTTCTCTTCACACAGATATCGGCGGGATGACCGCTGCGTCGTCACGAGGGCGGGTGGTTTAAAACATGGGGCTTTCGCTTTGGCGCCGCCCACACTCGCCTTGAAAATTTCAACAGGTACACGGAATGGAGGGGGAGTGGTTTTCAAAGTGGCGGTCTCGCGATGGCGCCGCGCACACCCGTTCAACAAACAAATAACAAGGACACGGACAGAGGGCGATTGCTTTTCGAAATGGGGCCATCGTTCGAGACATCATGCCAAATCTCATCACTCATATGAAACCACCGAACCGATACACCGATGGATGGGGGTCCATCTCACGTTGAGGCTTTCGCTTGTGACTTGGATCGACTCCACGATCACACCTTTAACATTGGACAACAGCTACACGGATGGAGAGCGGTTCCTTCTCAAAGCAGTGTTGTTGTTGGGAACTTCCTGTATCTATACAACTTCATTTTCTCACGCTCTTTCGGACTGGATGGATGGAGGGCAGGGTCATTTCAAAACGGAGCTCCCGCTGTACTTGCGGGCCCGTGTTCGCGCTCGTTTTTCAGAGGGGCTGCTTCGCGCAGTGGAAAAACGTTGCAGGGACCGGGAGGGTATGGGATGAGTGCTTGGATGGCGTGCCCATTGAGAGTTGGTCCTTCAACTGGGCGCTTCTTGAAGTGGAAAGGAAGGCTTGCAGGGACTTGTGATGAGAGGACTTGGGACGGGAGGTTGATTGTAGAATCGTTCGCACGCCTTGGGTTGACTTCGGTCTTTATCGTGATCAGCTGCAGCAGCATCATCATCATCATCATCATCATCATCATCATCACCATCATCATCCTTTCCCTTTTCCCGTCCCCACCCTCCGTATCTTTCTCATCCCCCTTCCGAATCCCTGATACTTCCCCTCTTCTTGTCCTGCTCCTCTTGACCTGCCCCCTCTACCCCCTTTCGTGTTCTCCCCGTGCCCCTATCCTCCCCCGCCTCCTCCCCTCCACATCCGTCCCCCTGGTCCACCTCCTTCTCCCTCCTCCCCATCCTCCTCCTTTCCCTCCCTCCTTCCGTCCTTCCGTTCATCTTCCTTTGCACCATATTGCACTTCGTTTATTCGGCCCTACTATACGTTCAGGTTGCGTTTACTCTCATTCGCATGCTTCTTGATTACAAAAAGACGCTGTTCTACGCGATTACGTTCGAGCATACCCAACTCCACCTTGTTATACCAGCTTCATGCTTGTATTGACTAATCAGTGTGCGTGTTAACATGTGATTGAAATCGCAACACTGATACACGCTGACACCCAATACACATGGAAGGCGTTCGACGTGCGCGCGCGGCGATGTGCGAATGCGGCCGTATGGTATTTTCTGGCATGGGTGAAGAAAGAGCGCAATTGTTAGATCAACGCGTGCGCGCACAGGCACGAATGTCATAATACTGCTTGGTGGATCATATGCGAGGTTGTGCAGACTAGATATGGAAACAAGTACGCAGGGGGAACCGAGGAGTCGGGTCCCCGCATGCGGGGCGACTCTGTCTCCCCAAACAGTGCGTGCACTTAGGGGTTCTTATTCCTCTTCTACGGAACTGGGCCTGGCGGCCAGACTGGGGGCAGTGCAGTCGCTGTCGCCGCCTCGTCGCCGCCCGTCGTCTGGGCACGACGGCTGGTCTGTCGGCTATGTAGCCGCCGTCGACGCCCTGTCGCCGCCTCGTCGCCGCCTGTGGCCGCCCCCCCCCCCTCCCACCGTTGTAATCCAATCGATTGTAATCCAACCGATTGCACACCGATTGTACTCCAACCGATTGCACACCGATTGTAATCCAATCGATTGTAATCCAATCGATTGTAATCCAATCGATTGTAATTCCATCGATTGTAATCCAACCGATTTGCACCCCAAGCGATTGCAATCCCATCGGCCGTGTACCTGACGAGGGAGAAGCCACTGCCGCAGCGTCTCCCGGCCTTCCTCCACGACTACCTGGACACGGCGGGCTGCTGGCCGCCCGCGCCTCCACGAGATGGACCGGCCGCCGCCACGGGGTGCTGCATGAGCGCCTGCGGCGCCTCGACGGGCGGCTTCGGATAGCGTGGACGCCGCAGCGCAATGGGCGCCGCGAGGGCCGCCAAGGTGCCGTCGTTGCGCTTGCCACTGGCGGCGCGCACGAGGCGTGGCCGGCGGCGCACGGGCCGGAGCAACGCGCGAGTTCGGCTCGCCCGCCGCACGCGCTCGCCAAAACAGCGGGGGCCGTTGGACGAGGACCCCTCGCTGCGAATCGCGCCGAAGCAACAACGCGAAACGGATGGCGTCGCTGTACGGAGCCGAGAAAGCCGCGGGGTACCTCCCTGTGCACTGGGCTTTCTCGAGCAGAGAGCAGCGCGCTCCAAGTGGCGCGGCGATTGTTGGAGTTCGGCGAGTCGGCGCGCTGATGCTCGACCGGTTGCACGCTGGAAAGAAACCGGCGCGCGGGAAGAGGCGCGCGCGCGCGGGATTTGGCCGAGCGTTGCAGTGAGGCTGTCTTGCAATCCACAGGCTGGAATCTCAAAGTTACCGCGAGGGAGTTCGCCAAGCTGGACTTCTTCAACTGCTCTATTGGTGCGCCGCTGCATCCGTCACCGCGCGCCGCCGCTGCCCCCCCCCCCCCTCCCTGCGCCCGCTGGAAAAGCGGGCTCGGCGCCCATTTGACTGCTGCGCGCGTTCCGCCAGCCCCCAGTCGCAATGACGGGAATATGCAGTCTCCTCGTCGACATATCTTCGCGCGCGCGCCCGACGCTCGAGCGCGCGCAAATCGGCGAAGAGCACCGGGCGTTTCAGAAGGCCCACGCTTACAGGGAAATTGCCGGGTCGCCCCGGGGCCATCATGGAACATCCGCACGCGCTACTACATGTCAGGGCAAGGAGCACCCATCGGATAGTTCTTGACGCTTCACGCATCCCCACCAGCCCATCCAAAACCGACGCCGTGGCGAGCTAACAGGATCATGGAAACGCAGGAGCAGAACGGGGGACAGTCGTCATCGTTCGGCGGAGAAAGAGGAGGATGAGGAGGATGAAAGAGGAGAAGGAGGACGAGGAGGAGGAGGAAGACAAGGGCGAACAGAAGAGCCAGAAGCCTCTTGAATGTCTCTCGGAGTCTCCTCGGATATCGCTTGGAAGCTTTTTGGAGACCTCTTGGGGCGTCTGGGGGACATCTTGGCGGGCCCGGGACCGTCTTTGAGCGTCTTAGGTGTCTCGGGGATCCTTTTGAGGCCTCTTCCTCCCCCTCCTCTCCATTCTCGCCCTCCTCTTTCTCCCCGTCCTCCTCCTCCTCCTCCTCCTCCTCCTCCTCCTCCTCCTCCTCCTTCTCCTCATCTTCATCCTCATCCTCCTCCTCCTCGTCCTCCTCCTCCTTCTGATCCTCCTCCTCTTCTTCCTCCTCCTCCTCCTCCTCCTCCTCCTCCTCCTTCTCCTCCTCCTCCTCATCCTCATCTTCCTTCTTCCTCCTCCTCCTCCCCTCCTCGTCCTCCTCCTCCTTCTGATCCTCCTCTCTTCTCTCCCCTCCTCCTCCTCCTCCTCCTCCTCCTCCTCCTCCCTCTTCCTTGTCCTGTCCTATCTGTCTACCCCTCCTCCTTCTCCTCCTCCTCCTCCTCCGCCTCCTTCTTCATCCTCCTCCTCTTCCTCCTCCTCCTCCTCTGTCCTGGTCCTACTCTGTCCTACCCCTCCCTTTCCTCCCCCTCCTCCCTTTCTTCCTCCTCTCCTCCTCCGCCTCCTCCTCCTGCTCCTCCTCCTCCTCCTCCTTCTCCTCCACCTCCGCCTCATCATCATCATCATCATCATCATCATCATCATCATCATCATCAGCAGCAGCAGCATCATCATCATCATCATCATCATCATCATCATCATCATCATCGGCATCATCAGCAGCAGCAGCATCAGCAGCAGCAACATCATCATCAGCATCATCAGCAGCATCATCGTCAGCATCAGTATCATCATCAGCAGCAGCATCATCATGGTCATCATCATCATCATCATCATCATCATCATCAGCATCATCATCATCATGATCATAAGCACAATCATCATCAGCAGCAGCAGCAGCAGCAGCAGCCGCATCAGCATCAGCATCAGCAGCATCATCATCATAATTATCAGCAGCATCAGCATCAGCATGATCAGCAGCATCATAATCATCATCATCAACAGTAGCGTCATCATCAGCATTAGCATAACCACCATCAGCATCATCATCATCATCATCAGCATCAGCAGCATCATGCTCATCATCAGCATCATCATGTTGCCTCCATTATCCTACTCCTCCTCCCCCTCCTCCTCTTCAGCAGCATCATCAGCATCATCATCAGCTTCATCAGTATCATCATCAGCTGCATCATCATCATATTCAGAATCAGCATCAGAATCATCAGCATCGTCATCGTCATCGGCATCATCAGTATCAGCATCAGCATCAGCATCCTCATCCTCATCCTCATCCTCTCTCTCTCTCTCCACCTCCTCATCCTCACCCTCATCATCATCCTCATCCTCCTCCACCTCCTCCTCCGCATCTTTCTCCTCCTCCTCCTCCTCCTCCTCCGCCTCCTCCGCCTCATTCCCCTCCTCCTCCTCCTCCTTATCCTCGTCCTTGTTTTCGTAGCCATACCCATACTTACACCCATGGCATAGTCATACGCATGCGCATGCTCATAATCATGATCATACTCATCCTGATCCTCATCCTCTTCCTGCTCCTCCCTCTCCTCCTCCTCCTCCTCCTTCTCATCATCCTCCTTCTCCTCCTCCTCCTTGTCATCATCCTCATCATCCTCATCATCATCAGCAGCAGCATCATCATCACCGTCCTCAGATTCAGACTCATACGTGTACTCATAATCGTATTCATCGTCATCCTCATCCTCCTCCCCCCTCTCCACCTTCTCCACCTTCTCCTCCACTTCCTCCTCCTCCTCCTCCTCCTCCTCCTCCTCCTCCTCCTCCTCATCATCATCATCATCATCATCATCATCATCATCATCATCACCAGCATCCTCCTCCTCTTCCTCCTCCTCCTCCTCTTCCTCCTCCTCTTCCTCCCTCTCCACGTCCCCTGCCCTCCCTCCCCGTCATCGCCCTCCGCATCCTGGAAAATCGCGGGCCTCTCCGTCGCCCCCGCCCCCCGCATCTCGCCCCCCTCGGTTTCGCCCCCCCCCCCCCCCCTCGTCGCCCCGCCCCGCCCGAGGATCCTGCGGGCCCTCGAGGACCTGCAGCTCGCGAGCCTCGAGGCCCTGCCCTGCGCCCAGGCGGGCTGGGCCCAAGGCTTCGCGCTGCTGTGCGCCCAGGCCCTCGGAGGGGCAGCTAAGCAGCAGCACCGCCGATCTCTTGAAGCTAACAGCAATCAGAACTGAGATTCCTCGTCGCCTTGGGCGTCTGGAGGCCGTTTGTAACCTCCAGGGCCACGGAGATGAGCAGCGCTGGGCTTCTCCCCAAGCAGTTCTCGCCCCACCAGCGCCTGTGAAGATGGCCGCTTCAGGGTGTTCGACGTCGTTTGCCGTGTTGGGGAAATCAGCCTTGCGTGCTTGCCTCGTCGCCACGGCCGCATCCGCTTTCGAAATGAGGGAATCGGTGTCGAAGGACGAAGAGGAGGAGAAGGAGGAGGAGGAGGAGGACGACGACAACGACGACTGCGCAGACGAAAAGGAGAAAGAGCAGCAGCAGCAACAACAGCAGCAGCAGGGAGAAGGAGGAGGAAGGAGGGGCGGCGACGAGGGGGGAGGGAGGAGGCAGAGGGGCGCCCCGCGCCGTTTTGCGACCAGGCCCTCTGGAGCCCCCCCGCATCCAACGCCTCCTCCTCCTCCTCCTCCTGCTCCTCCTCCTCCTCCTCCGCCTCCTCCTTATCCTCTTCCTCTCATCATTCTCCTCCTGCTCCTCCTCCTCCTCCTCCTCTTCCTCCTCCTCTTCTTCCTCCTCCTCCTCCTCCTCCTCCTCCTCCTCCTCCTCCTCCCACCCCCCTCTTCCTTCTCCTTCTCGTTCACCTCATCCTCCTCCTCCCCTCCTCCTCCTCCTCTGCTCCTCCTCCTCCTTCCCCTCCTCCTTCTCCTCCTCCTGCTCCTCCTCCTCCTCCTGCTCTCCTCCTCCTCCTCCACCTCCTTCTCCTCCTCCTCCCTCTCCTCCTTCTCCTCACGCCTCCTCCTCCTCGTCCTCCTCCTCCTTCTCCTCCTCCTCCTCCCCTCCTCATCTCCTCCACCTCATTACCCTCCTCCTGCTCCTACTCCTCCACCTCCTCTTTCTCCTCGTCCACCTCCTCATCCGCCTCCCTCCTCCTCCTCCCTCCTCCTCCTCCTCCTCCTCCTCCTCCTCCTCCTCCTCTTCCTCCTCCTGCTCCTCCTCCTCCTCCTCCTGCTCCTTCTCCTCCTCCTCCTCCTCCTCCTCCTCCTCCTCCTCCTCCTCCTCCTCCTCCTCCTCCCTCATCCCATCCTCCTCCTCATCCTCATCCTCATCCTCCTCCTCCTCTTCTCCTCCTCCTCCTCCCTCCTTCTCCTTCTCCTCCTCCTCCTCCTCCTCCTCCTCCTCCTCCTCCTTCCCCGCCTGCTTCTCATCCTCCTCCACCTCCTCCTCCTCCACCTCCTCTTCCTTCTCCTCCCGCCTCCTCCGCCTCGTCCTCCTCCTCCTTCTCCTCCTCCTCCTTCTCCTCCTCCTCCTCCTGCTTCTCCTCCTCCTGCTCCTCCTCCTCCTCCACCTCCTCCTCCTCCTCCTCCTGCTCCTCCTCCTGCTGCACCTCCTCCTCCTCCTCCTCCTCCTCCTTCTGAGCTCGTGCATGCGCGCATGCACGCCACCAGTGCTCAGATCCAATTGGAGCGGTTGATGGAGCAGGGCCATTCTCCCGTTCCTTGGCGGACTCTTTTTCGTTGTAGTCTTTGTGGTGCGTGTCTCCCTGAAGGGGCCCCTCTCCGCGTTTTGGCCTGGGCCCTGTCGTGATGGGCGGTTCGCCCGTTTCCGTGTGGCGCGAGAGGGCGAGAGTCTTGATGCGGAGGGTCCTGGGTCCGCCCCGTGTGGGGCCGCTGGGCACCCTCTGGCCATCCAGTGCCATGAGACCCATTCCTTGTCCGAGCTGAACGGAGTGCTGTTTTGCACTGTGTGTGGAAGTTCTGCCGTGGTGAATGCTCGGAATTTGAAGAAGAAGTGTGAGCCATCGACCCAGAAAGGGTTGGAGACTCTGAGCAGATTGGAGAGGGGACTCCCGCCAAAGTCGGGTATGGCATTCCCTCAGTGATTTGGTGTAGGCGGCCAGGCTAGCACCTGGGAGCCGCGCTCTCGCCATAACGCCATAGCTCCTCCTCCTCCTCCTCCTTCCCCTCCTCCTCCTCCTCCTCCTCCTCCTCCTCCTCCTCCTCCTCCACATCCTCCTCCTCCTGCTCCTCCTCCTCCTCCTCCTCCTGATCCTCCTCCTCCTCCTCCTCCTCCTCCTCCTCCTCCTCCTCCTCCTTCTCTTGTCACTGCGATGCTTTTGCTCTGGCGATCCTGGGGCGGGCTGGGGCCCCTTCGGGCGACTGGGGCCCGGCGAGGGCTTGCCTTCGGTGACGGGTGTATTCTGGCCAGCCTCCGTCGAGCCACGGCACGACTGAGAGGAGTTCTGTGCAGCGGTGCTTGCCATACCCTCGAGGAGGGGGAGGAGGAGTAGGAGGAGGAGGAGCAGGAGGAGGAGGAGCAGGAGGAGGAGGAGGAGGAGCAGCAAGAGCAGCAGAAGCAGCAGGAGCAGCAGGAGCAGGAACACGAGCATGAGCAAGAGCAGGAGGATGAGAGGGAGGAGAGGGCGGTGCTTCCCTCTCTCTCCCCCCCTCCTCTATCCCGTTCCCCCCCCCCTCCATCTCCTCCCTGCGTAACTCTCCATGCCTCCCGTTCTCCCCCCCCTTCTCACTCTCCCTCCCTTCTGTCCTTCCTCCTCCCATTTCCCGCTGCCTCTGGCCCCTCCCCTCTATTCCCCCCTCCATTCCTCTCCATTCCCGTTCCCACCTCTTCCCCCCTCCGTTCCTGTCTCCCCGTCCCTCCCGTCCTTCCTCCCGCCGCCCCCCGCGCTCAATCCGCCCGCGCTCACTGGTCAGTCCAGGGGGGGGCGGAGGTGGAAGCGGGCCTCCTTCTCGCGGCCGCTGCCGTCCGGGCCCCCCTTGCCGAGTCACCCAGAAGCCAGGAAGGGTCCGTGAAGCGAGGCCGCCAAGAGCCCTGGGCTCCTGGCGATCCCTTGCTCTTGGCCTGGGCCGCTAGGACGGATGGGAGCGCTGGCCCTCTGCCCCCTCGTCGGCGTTCTCTTCCTCCTCCCCCTCGTCCTCGTCGCCCTCGTCGTCCTCGTCGCCCTCGTCGTCGTCGTCGTCGTCGTCGTCGTCGTCGTCGTCGTCGTCGTCGTCGTCGTCGCTGTCCGCCTGGCCCCCGTGGCACCATACATAGCAAAGTAGCGAAGAACCGGATCCCGAACACATGCCGAAACCATCCATCCTCTGATCCAGAAGAACAGATGGCGCGGCGGGAGGTCAGAATTTCTGAGCACCGTGACGCGAGGTTTTCTGACGTTTTCGTAGGTTCTCGGCGGCCTTCCAACCTCGGGATGCCTTCCAGCGGCTGCGCCTCGCCGAGAGCGTTCCAGGGGTGCCCAGATCGTCCCGAGAGGCCGCCGGGGAGTTCATGTTTGACCCGAAAACAAAGGGGCAACGTACAAGGAGAGGATAGGCTCAGTCAGGGGGGCATGCATCGACCTCCAATCGCCCACTCATCGCCGACAGGGTCCCCACAGCCCACCCCGCCCAGGATCGTTCGGTTTTGCTTTCGGGGGCATATCGCCCATCTGCCGGCGATGTGACGCCGATTCAGGCTCAGTGCTTTTTTTCCCCGCTTGAGCCAGTCCCCCCCCTGTCGTCTCCTCCCAGGCGAAGCCCGGATACGAGCGGCCATATACCCGACCCGATGACCGCGATTGGGTGTGAGGGCGACGACGATCACGGCAGCACAACGCCAGCTGCGCACCAGCGGCATGATGCGCTACAGAGCGAGGCTGGCGAGGGCGAGCCGATCGCGAGCTTCACGGCTCGATGTCGGGCGTGGTCGCCCGCGGGGGCGCGCAGGCGACCGTTTGCCGCGCTTCGCCCATGGCGGCAGCAGCTGTCTGGTGTGGCTGCGCGGGAGCACAGATGTCGTCCTCCTGGTGCCGTTCCCGCACCGTGTCCACGACACGTGCGCCTGCGCCGCTGCCCGTGCGAGGCACGGCCGAGCACCGCAAGAGCATGGCGGAGAGCACCGAAGGCACGGTTCGAAAACGCAGCGCGCGCAGCGACGACAGTACGACAGTGGTGAGCACGAGAAAAAGTAAGGAGCAGGGAGGCGAGCGCAAACGGGAGCGGCCTCGAAGCTGTGGTGCCTTGCCACTGAAAAACAGGAGGGAAGGCAGTGGAAGCCAACGGCCCCCCTCGAGGGAGGCCAGGGCCTATCGGCCTCGTGCCCGGCAGGCCGCGGGGGGGAGGCTTCGTGCGCTCGGCAGGCCGGAGCTCTGCCTCGCCAAGAGCAGCGTGCGGCCGGCCGCGTGCGGTCAGCGCGTCGTCGCGCCGCCGGCTCTGGCCCGCCGCGCTCCGGCGCGACGCGCAGACCCCTGCCCCACTTCCCGAGCGTCGAGGCCCCGGGCCTCTTTCCCGCCGCGCGGGGGCACTCGGAGTGTTTTCGTTCCGTCTACGCCTTTTACGCCGCATAATGGGAGGGGAGGCCGGAGAAGGCCGACCCCTCACGAGTGTCTTCGTTCCTCCTCCTCCTCCTCCTCCTCCTCCTCCTCCTCCCTCCTCCTCCTCCTCCTCCTCCTCCTCCTCCCCCTCCTCCTCCTCCTCCTCCTCCTCCTCCTCCTCCTCCTCCTCATCCTCCTCCTCCTCCCCCCCCTCCTCCTCCTCCTCCTCCTCCTCCTCCTCCTCCTCCTCCTCCTCCTCCTCCTCCTGGTCCTCCCAGCCTCCTCCTCCTCCTCCTCCTCCCGGCCTCCCGCCCCGCGGAGCCGAGCGATCCGCTCGCACGGCCACGGCAGTGGCGCGTCGCTCAGGGCCGCCCCTCCGCGGCACGCCGACCGAGGAGCTCCTCGCAACGCGTGCCACCGCGCGCCGCGCGGAGCGCGTGGCGAGGCCGGGCGCCCTGCCCGCCTTGGTCGGCTGCACGTGAGAGTCAACGACAGCGATCAAGAGGATAGCGATCACAACGGTCACAACGATTGCAACGATCGCTGTGATCGCTGTGGTCGTCGTGATCGCTGTGCTCGTTGCGATCGTTGCCGTTGTTACCGTTGCTATCGTTGCCCTTGGCCGGGGTGACCTCTTGGTGCGGGCCCAAGGGGGGCCCCCGATCGCCGAGCGCGAAGCGGTAGCAGCGTCTTGCGCGCCCGTGTTTGGCCCCCGCCCCCGCGGCCCCCCGAGAGCGGCGCACCAAAGGTCACTCTTAGGTCACTCTTGTGTGCAGCCGATTGTCGACTGCACATAGGAGGAGGAGAAGAAGGAGGAGGAGGAGGATGAGGAGGTGAAGGAGGAGGGGGAGGAGGACGGGGAGGAGGAGGAGGAGGAGGAGGAGGAGGAGGAGTACACGTAAGAGTGACCCTTTGCTGGATTGACGTTTGGGTGCGGGCCCAATGGGGCCCCCCGATCGCGGAGCGCGAAGCGGTAGCAGTCAACCCGCATGGTGAGGATGGGAATCCTTGCCGAGGGTACCTTCGCATCCTTGCCTCCTCGGTCCACCCTGAGCCGATTTCCGCTGGCCGCGCCAGACCGAGAAGCTTCGAAGTGGGCTTCCAGGGCCCTTGCATCCTCACCGCGCCTCCTTATGATATGGACTGGCTGCAGCAGCGGCTTCGGCGCCCAGGGCTCAGCCCCACCAAGGGTCACTGCTTCTCCAGGGTGACTCCCTGCGTGCAGCCGCCTCGGGCGGGGCACCTCTTGGCACGCAGGCCCTGCGCGTGGTAGACAGCCTGGCGGTGCTCTGCCAGACGTCCCTGAAGGTCCCTGGGAGGGGGCGGGGCCCTGCGCCGTGCGGGGGGGCGAAGGGCTTCGAGGCTCGAAGCTCGAGATTTGGGGGCGAAAGGCTTCGAGGCTAGAGGGTCGTCGTTTCTCGGTGGTTGAATCTCGCGGCGGCGGCGGCGGGAGGTCTGAAATTCCGAGCACGGTGGTTGGAGGTTTTCGGGCGTTTCCGTTTTTTTGTTCGGCGGCCTTCGCTTTGTTCGGCGGCCTTTGTTTTTTTTGCGGCCTTCGCTTTGTTCGGCGGCCTTTGCTTTTTTCGGCGGCCGTTGCTTTTTGTCGGCGGCCTTCGTCTTTTTGTCGGCGTTTTCGTAGGTCCCCGGCTGCCTTCCGACCTCGGGATGCCTTCCAGCGGCTGCGCCTCGCCGAGAGCGCTCTGGCGGCGTCCCGATCCTCCCGCGGGGCTGCCCAACGCCCGAGGCAGAGCCCGAAAGCCAGAGGGCTTGCGCTCGGGGGGAGGAGGTCCGACGAAGACGTCTATACACCACCACCGTGCCAGGCCAGGGACATCCTGGTCCCTAGCATGGTGTACAGACTCTCCTGGCCTCGGCCAGGAGGGCGTATACGCCATGCCATGGCCAGGATGGCCCTGGCTTGACACGGTGGTGGTGTATAGATGCCTTCTGCGTAGGAGGGGCTCGGTCAGGGGCCAGAGCTTGCCGAGCACTGGGGCGCAAGGTGCTCTGGCGTTCTCGCAGGCCCTCGGCGGCCTTCCAGCCTCGGGAGGCCCTCCGGCGGCTGCGCCCCGCCGAGAGCGCTCCAGGGGTGCCCGGGTCCTCCCGAGAGGCCGCCAGGAGGAGCTCATGTTGGACCCGAGAACGAAGGGGCGACGTGCGAGGGGAGGGTAGGCTCAGTCAGGGGGGGGGGGACGCAGCGACCTGCAATCGCCCACTCCTCGCCCAAGCAGGGCCCTCCTGCTACCCACCCCGCCCAGGAGCGTGCCGGGTTCGCCTTCGGGGGGCACAGCGCCGGATCTGCCGGCGACTTAACGCCGGACACCCGAGGGGGAGGGGGAGGGGAGGGGGGAGGGGGAGGGGGAGGGAGAGGGGGAGGGGGGAGGGGGAGGGGGGGGAAGGGGAGTGGGGGGGGGGAGGGGGGAGGGGGAGGGGGAGGGGGGGAGCGGGACGCATCGACCTGCAATCGCCCTCTCCTCGCCTAAGCAGTGTCCTCCTAGCAGCCCACCCCGTCCAGGTGCCCGGTTTCGCCTTCGGGGGGGCACAGCCCGCCGGATCTGCCGGCGAGGTGTCGCCGGACACCGAGAGGCGGAGGCCGGAAGCCAGAGGGCTCGGAGGTGGATAGACCTCCTACCCTGACACGTCGATGAGTGAATTGGCCGTTTTCGGTTCGCCAGAGGGCGTCGCGGCCGTCCTTTTTGCGGGTCCCAGGTCCGTCGGTATCGGTCCCAGAGGCCGTTTTCATTCGAGGGTGGCTTACGAAAGGGAGGTTTGTCCACCGCCGGAGGGCAGCCTTCGGAGGGGAAGGGCGCTGCGCTGCACCGTTTGCTTCCCGAGCGTTTCTGCCCGCTCTCTTCGGGCCCGGGGGGCCTGCACGGATCGATCCCGCCCGGGAGAGGTGCTGCGGAGAGGTGGTGCCCGGGGCTCCAGGCCCGTGAGTTGCTGTGGTGCTGCAGTGCCTTCCGCAAGGGCTCCCTCGAGGGCGCGAAGTTATTCGCGCTTCGCGCTTCGCGGTCCTCGTTCCTTCTCCCCCTCCTCCTCGTCCTCCTATTCTCCCTTTGGGAGGGCGGCGCGAGGGCGCGAAGTTATTCGCGCTTCGCGGAGCGCGAAGCGCGAACTTAGGAGCCCTTGGGGCTCCAGGCCCGTGAGTTGCTGTGGTGCTGCAGTGCCTTCCGCGGCGTCGGGTCTCGGGGTGGCCGCACGCGCGCAGGCTGAGCGGTGGGCAGGGGGGCGCGAGGGTCTCCATGGCCTCCCAAGTTGGGGTCCGAGCAGACGATGTCGGAGGCTTGCGCAGCATCGCCCGTGCGGCGGCGAGGCATCTGGATGTCGAGCCCGACTTGATCCACGCCGAACGCGCCGATGCATCGCCGACGTCGCCGACGCGTCGCCGATGCATCGGCGATGTGGCGCGATCCTGTGACCCTATTTACTCTGGCCCATCTTGGGGGGCCTCCAGAGTAGAGGAGATGCGCTCTCTGGGCGCATCTTTGAGACTCGGCACTGCCTCCATCCTGGCCTTCCTCCCTGGCCATGATTCCAGCACTGCCCAGCGGGCCAAGATCCCGCAGATCAGCAGGTTGTAGGAGGTTACGTTTGGCTTCTCTGCCTACCCACTCGCATTTAGATCGCTCATACTCTGACTCTCTCGCGCTCAGACTCACACTCGCACCCGGGTTCATCCATGAAAAACAGGGGGAGGTTTGGACCCCTTCCTTGGGATCAGCTTTCCATCCCGAGTCGTTCTCTGACGGCCCCGGGTCCCAGCGAGAGCCTCCCAGAAGCCAGAGATGAGCAGAACTCAGGGACAACGATACGGGGGGTATAGGCATAGGGGGGGATGCATCGACCCCCAATCGCCCATTGATCGCCCATGGGGGCCCGATAGCCCCAACCTTCCCAGGAAGATGCGGAGTCAGGCCTATCGCCGACCTGTCGGCGATGTGTCGCCGATTCCAGGTCGATGCACCCCCCCCCTAGGCTAGTACCCCGATCGAGGATCGAGGATCGAGGATCAGGATCGAGGATCGAGGATCGAGGATCGAGGAGGAGGATCGAGGATCGAGGAGGAGGATCGAGGATCCAGGCTAGTACCCCCCTTGTCGCTGCCCCTCGAGAATTCCTCCGCCTCGCGATTCTCGCCACAACGCCAAGGGGGGCCCGTGGAGGGCCTCCGTGGCGTGGGCCCCGCGCCGGCCCCGGCGACGCCCGTGGCCTCGAGCCGAGGAGGCGCGGCGGCGGTCGCCGTCGGGAGCGTCGGCGGCGCCCTCGACGACGACGACGACGACGACGACGACGACGACGACGACGAAGACGAAGACGAAGACGAAGACGACGAAGACGACGACCACGACGACCACGACGACCACGACGACGACGTCGACGACGACCACAACGACGACGACGACCACCACGACGACGTCGTCGCTTCCCTTGGTCGCAGAGGGGGTACGTCGGGGCTTCCACGGCGGGGCAGGCCGCCCACGCCACCCTGGGCGACCTCCACGCGCCGGCCATGGCGCAGCTCCGGCGCCCCACGCTGCGGCGCCTGGCGCAGGCGGAGGACAAGGTCAGGGTCGAGGGCGGGACGCGCGCCGCCAGGCCGCCCCGACAAGCCTGGGCGCACGAAGAGGAGGAGGAGGAGGAGGAGGACAAAGAGGGGGAAAGGGAGGAGGAGGAGGAGGAGGAGGAGGAGGAGGAGGAGGGAGAGAGGATATGCTTCTGATGGATGCTTCGATGTCTCTCCTTTTTCCTCCTCCTCCTCCTCCTCCTCCTCCTCCTCCCCCTCCTCCTCCTCCTCCTCCCCCTCCTCCTCCCCTCCTCCTCCTGGTCCTCCTCCTCCTCCGCCTCCTCCTCCTCCTCCGCCTCATACTCCTCCTCCTCCTCCATTCCTTTTCCTTATAGATAACTTCTCCCTGTCGCACCCCGAGGCCAGTTTTTAGGGCGGTCTGGGCGCTTCACCTGAGACTTCCTCACCATTTATGATTCTGAAGCTTAACAAGTGACGGCAGTTTCACAGATGGAGCGCGGGTCGTTTTCAAAATGTGGCTCTCGCTTTGGCGCCGCGCACATTCGTTTTAATAATGTACAAGAGCTTCACGGATTGAGGGCGGGTCGTTTTCAACATGTGTGGTTCTCGCCATAGCGCCGCGCACATTCGTTTTAAAAAGTTGCAAGAGCTTCACGGATTAAGGGCGGGTGGTTTTCAAAGTGTGACTCTCGCCATAGCGCCGCGCACACTCGTTTCGAAAAATGCAAGATGTTCCCGGATTGAGGGCGGATGGTTTCCAAAATGTGGCTCTCGCTTTAGCGCCGCGCACACTCGTCTTAAAAATGTGCAAGAGCTTCACGGATTGAGGGCGGGTGGTTTTCAAAATGTTGCTCTCGCCGTAGCGCCGTGCACACTCGTTTGAAAGATGTGCAAGAGCCTTACGGATTGAGGGAGGGCCGTTTTCAAAATGTGGTTCTCGCTTTAGCGCCGCGCACATTCGTCTTTGATTTTTTTTAGTGACAAGAGCTTCACGGATTGAAGGCAATTCCTTTTCAAACTGTGGCTCTCGCCTTAGCGCTGGGCACATTCATTTTAACAATTTGCAAGATTTTCAAAGATTCCCATGATCAACGTGCCAGAAAATACGTTTTGGAAGGATTCAGGATTACGCGGGTGCAACAGTTATGTTGATTCGCGGTGTTGAAGTCCCAAAAATGACGCTCTGGCACGGTTCCGGATCGTCAAGACGCAGCAGTCAGGTTGATACATGGTTTTGAAGTCCCGATTACGATGTTTTGGCATGCTTCAGGATATTCAAACGGTTGTCTTCCAACGAGGTAGTTCCCTCAATGGAAGTGAACCGTTGTGGGGGCCTATGATGAGGGAGCTTGGAGGGAGAGTTAATTCCAACATCGTTGATGTCTCTTGGTTTTGCACTGGCCCTCCTCCTCCTCCTCCTCCTCTTCCTCCTCCTCCTCCTCCTCCTCCTCCTCCTCCTCCTCCTCCTCCTCCTCCTCCTCCTGTTCACCGTCATAATTTACCTCTTCCCACACGTTGCCACGTGTGTCGCAGGTGGCCCCTGGTTCTGGTTTGCTCGACGCCCCTCAGGGCCGACTGGCCCTGTGGGGGGGGAGGCTGCCTTCGACGAAGGCTCGCTATAGCCAACAGGAACCCAGGAACCGGTTGGAAGAGGAAGCGCAGACATGGAGCAGGGCGCGTGGAGCAGCGGCGGGCCCCGCTTCCTCGCACGGGGGCGCCTCGAAGGGTAGGGGATGGGGGGAGGGAGGAGGAGGAGGAGGGCGGAGGAGGGAGGGAGGGAGGGAGGGAGGGAGGGAGGTAGGGAGGAGGAGGAGGAGGAGGAGGAGGAGGAGGAGGAGGAGGAGGAGGAGGATCGAGGGAGGGGGGAGGAGGGGAGCCTCGAAGAGTGGGCTCCGGGGCCACGCTCGGGGGGGCGGGTTTCCGGCGTTGTCGTCGTGCCCGGGCGGGCTCCCAGCCTCGGGGTGCTCTCGAGCAGCTGCGCCCCGCCGGGAGGCGTTGCCCGGATCGCCCCGAGCGGCCGCAGGAGACCCGACGGGGAGCGGAGCGAGGAGCATCGCCTGGCGTCGCTCGGCCGTGTGCAGTGTTTGTTCGGCGAGGGCCCTCGAGGGGCCGATGCATCACCTGATAAGAAAACAGCATGCACGCAGGGAGCCGACACCCAAAAAAAATCAAGGGAGGAAAAAACACCCGGACCGGACAACTGGCGTGTATTAAACGGCCTTGGGCGTTTACTGAACAGCCCTGTCCTGTTCGATTCCTTCAGTGGGTGCTGTTCAGCAAACGGCTTCGCGTGTCGGGGTAGTTATTATGAGGCTGGATTCCTTGCCCTCCAAAACGGGCGCGGGGAAGGGACGTCCGTGCGATGGCAGCACCGAGGAAGCGCAGGGCACGGGCCAAGGCTCGTGGACGCGCCACGGGCCCCGCTTCCGTGCTGAGCCGGCGCGCCCCGTGGCCAGAGCGGGCGGCACCGCTCGGGCATGGCCAGGACCCCAGGCAAGGGGACCCGTTTAGGAGTACGGTAGGTTTGCGTCGTGTCGACCAGCGGCGACCCCAGCGCGGACGTTCAAGGTTGAACGCCGCCGGCGACCCAGAATCGATCGATGTTGAACGATCGGACGTTGCGGCAGCGGCCGATCGTTCAAGGTTGAACGATCCCTGCGGTGTCAAAAACCAACGCTGGGGTCGGCACGACACGAACCTGCCGTAGGGCCCCGGGCCCCTTCGATGGGCCAGAGTCACCAAACCAGGCCTGCCGCAGCTGGTGTTTTTCGGGTGATGGCAGTTCCTTGGCATCGCTCGGACGTGTGCATCTTTCTTTCGGCGAGGACCGTCGAGGAGCATCCTGGTTCATTTGGCGAAAAAACCACGCACGAAACCGAAAAAAGCACAGGGAATGGACGTCCGAGCGATGACGAGGTTCCGGTTCGTGGAACGAGGCCTGGGGGGCGCCCCCCCAGCACACGTCACTGAGCCAGGTCCCACGAAACCCAGTGCTGCCAACGCCCGACCGGCTGCATGCTTCGGGGCGCCAACCGTGGGCCTGGCCGAGATCGGTGTGTGTGTGTGTGTGTGTTGAAGTCGGGCGTGTCCTTTTACAGTGTATGTCTAAGTCGGGCGTGTCCCTCTACAGGGGGACAATTCAGAAATAGTCAGACAATAGTCTGGGAATGATTTTGTCTACTATTTTTCATCGCTTTTGCATATGTTTTGACAATTTTTCACTCTTCCTCCACAATCCGCCTGCAGGGGGACATGCCCGACCTAGGCGTATGCGCACAGCTCTCTTCAATGCTGCCGGCACCCTGGCGCAGGGGCGGCGAGCGCGTCCTGCAGCTGGCGAGGGAGTTCGAGGATTTCGAGGCCGTGGTGGGCTCGCTGGCGTCGACCCCGGAGCGGCTGGACGAGCTCATGGCGGAGTCGGAGCCCTTCAGGGCGCACGCCCTGGAGCTCCGAGGAGGAAAGGTGCCGATGCCGCTGCCCTTGCCCCTGAGATCCGGGCACCGCAATTCTTTCTCCCACCGGGCGCGCTTTCGCCAGGCCGCGGGCCCCAGAGCCATCACACCTCGATCCGGCTCCTTAGCAGTGCCGCGGAAAGATCGGATCTACAGGGCTCCAGCCGTGGTCTGTCGCGAGATCGTGCACTCTTCGCGCAGCGTCGGATCTCGGGGTGCTCGTCGTTTGGGGGGCCTCCCGGGAGGCCCTCCTCGCCTCGGCGGGACTCGCTTCGAGATCCTGGTGCGAACTTGGAGCTGGCTGTTGGGCTGAGGTGGCCCGCCACTGGCTGCGGCCAGCAGAAGGGAGGGATAATTACTCTGGATGGGAGACCAATCGAGGGGTGGGCGACTAGGCTTGCGACGGAGCTGGCCCATCCCCACTCCCCCTCCTCCTCCTCCTCCTCCTCCTCCTCCTCCTCCTCCTCCTCCTCCTCCTCCTCCTCCTCCTCCTCCTCCTCCTCCTCCTCCTCCAACCCCCCTCCACCCGTTCCGACAGCACGTGCCCAACCCCCCCAGCGGATCCAAGGGGGGGTCGATTATTGCCCCATCCAGAATAAGGGCCCCCCCCCATCGTTGCAACGGCTGGACGCAGCTTGAAAGACATGTCAGGCTCGACCTTGAAACCCTGCGAGAGGTCTGGGGACCCATGTCACCCATGTTGAGCGGACTTGCCCTTGCCCCCCCCCTGACCGATCTTCCCTGGGTGGATCCAGCTTAGACCCCCTGGCCGCCTCCAAGTCAGAACGCACCCCGAAGGAGGTGCGGGGATTGGTTGGTAGTATCGATATGCTTTGGTCTCCCCCAGGAGCACCTGCTCCGGGACCAGTCGCTGCAGCCCTTGTTCTTCCGGGCCATCGCGCGCTTCGAAGTGCCCGACCAGATCGTCGAGAAGTTGCTCGCGCCGTGCCCTTCCTCCTCCTCCTCCTCCGCCTCCTCCTCCTCCTCCTCCTCCTCCTCCTCCTCCTCCTCCTCCTCCTCCTCCTCCTCCTCCTCCTCCTCCTCCTCCTCCTCCTCCCTCCTCCCTCCTCCTCCTCTCCTCCTCCTCCTCCTCCTCCTCCTCCTCCTCCTCCTCCTCCTCCTCCTCCTCCTCCTCCTCCTCCTCCTCCTCCTCCCTCCTCCTCCTCTCCTCCTCCTCCTCCTCCTCCTCCTCCTCCTCCTCCTCCTCCTCCTCCTCCTCCTCCTCCTCCCTCCTCCCTCCTCCCTCCCCCTCCTCCCTCCTCCCTCCTCCCTCCTCCCTCCTCCCTCCTCCCTCCCCCCTCCCTCCCTTTCCAAGGGAGGAGGGGGTAGCTGAGCCCCCCTCCTCCTTTGGAAAGGAGGGAGGGGCGGCCCAGAGGCCGAAAGTATAGCGAAAGACGTGCGTCGCACTCTGGTTCGCGACGTGGTGGGGGGTCTGGGGACGTCCAGGTACCCAGAGCTCCGCTGGACCCTGGAGCTGCGCGGCCTCGACGGCGCCTCGCCCGACGCGGCCTGGCTCGGCGCCCTCGGCCGGGTGGAGCGGAAGGTGGCGAAGACGGCGCAGCTCGAGGTGCACACGGCGGCGAAGCGCGACGCCTTCGTCGCGCTCGCCACCATTGCGCGGGCGGCAGCGACCAGGGACACGCCCCAGGATCAGCTGCACGCACGCGGCCCGGACCTCCCAACGCCTCGAGCAGAACGCCCTGCGAGCATGTTTTTTCACGGTTCTCGGCCTCCGGCGGCCCTCGCCGGGCCCCGGGGCCGTCAACCAAACGCTCGGGATGAAGGGCCGGCCCTGGGCAGAAGGTCCACACCTCTACCGAGGACCCCGCAGACGCAGGCGTCCTTCGTCACGTCCTTCCCGCGTCGAGAGCGCGCAGGCCGCTCCTGCCGCGCCGCACGCAGCGGCCGGCGCCAGAGGCCACTCTCGCCCAGGGCCGCTCCCAGACGTCCGACGTTCTGCTTGCTTCAATCCCAGGCCCCCTCACGTTTGTGGACACGTCGCGCCAGGGAGTGTGTCTCGCTAGAAAACTGCTCATTTCTAATGATTCGAAAGTTCTTTGATTTTTGGGGGGGCCAAGATCCGTTCATTTTTAATTGTTCCATCCTGGGCCTCTTCCTGGCCACTAGGGGGCCAGGAACAATTCGAAACGAACACAATTAGGAATGAGCGCGATTAGAAATGAACGACGTGTAGCTTTGCGGCCTCCCCGGGCCTTTACCGGCCCCGGGACCGTCAAGAAACGGTTCAGGATGAAACACCGGTCTTGGGGAAGGGCTCCAGACATCTGGGGGTCGACGTCGTGAGCAAATCACGACGTCGGGGGTCTGGGATCCGCGGCCTCTGAGCTCCCGACCCCCTCCTTGGGGCCGGCTCTCTGTCCCAGATCCGTGGCTGGTGGCCGCGGGGCCCGAGCACGGGCCCCAGAGGCCGCCAAAGGATCTGTGCGTGATGGCCGCGGGGCCCAAGAACGGGCCCCGGGGGCCGACGTCGGAGAAGACCGCCCGGACCGAAAAAGGCAGAGGGGCGGCACAGACAAACAGGATCGTCTGCGCTGACGTTGCCGCGCAAGCTGCCCGCGCAAGGTCGCGCGCCAGCGCCCTCGTCTCCGGTGCAGCGTGCCGCGCTGGCGGCCCGCGTGAGCTGCCGCGGCGTAAGGTCGCTGTGTCATCTCTCGCAAGACCCGCTGTTGATCGTCGCTCGCACCGTCGGAGATCTGGGCTCTCCTCTTGCTTGCGGCCGGCAGGAGCCCGCCCTGGCCGAGATGGCGTGCCTCGGCCGCCTACGGCGGCTCCGGCAGCGCTTCGCCGGCGAGGGGCCCGGCGAAGGGCTGCGGCCAGGGCCGAGGCTCCGGGGTAGCACTAAAAAAGGGAGTAGAAGGCCCCCCTGAGCCTAGCCATGGGCCAGGGCCGAGGCTCTGGGGTGACGTTGGGGGAGGGGAGGAGCTCGCCTGAGCCTATCCATCAGCTCAGGGCGGGACGCACATCGTGGCTGCTCAGGGGGCCTGCCCCCCCTGAGCCTGTCCATCGGCCCCCAGTCGCCCATGGGTCGCCGGCAGGAGCCCGAGCGCCCCCTCGGCCTGCCCAGGACCATGCGGGAGTCGCTGTCGGGGGCCTATCGCCGATCTATCGGCGATGTCTCGCCGATGCCGGGTCGATGCTTCCCCCCCTGAGCGGGACCCCCTCCTGTAGCTTCGGCGGCGAGCAAAGCGGGGGAAGCGAGAAGGAGAAGGCCCTCTCAGAAGGCGGCGGGGCTGCTCAGAAGCCCCCCGGGCCTCTTGAGAAGTGTTCGGCGTCTTCGGGGAAGGCTCCGAAAAAGTTGTCGGAAGGCCCGAGGACTTCAGAGCCTTCCGGGGAGGCCAGCCCCTTCTCACTTCACCCTGGGCTCGCCGCCAACAGCTTCACCGATCGCGTTCCACTACTCGCAAAGTGCCTGCTCGCAGACGTCGCCAAAGCACATGCCTTCGTCGATGTAATGTATCGCAGATACCCGCAGCGGATCCAGACCATTCGCGAGTATATACTTTGCGAGTAGCGGAACTCGCTTGGCTAATAGTTGCCCCTCAGAGGCGCCGGCTGTGCCCGAACGGGCCGCCGGACTCCGTCGAGGAGTGCGTCGCCGGGCTGGCGCCGTGCCTCGGCAGGGCGCTGCGGGCGCTGCGCAGCGAGGGCAGCGAGGGGCAGGCCTCACGAAATAAACCCTCCTCCTGCTCCTCCTGCTTCTCCTCCTCCTCCTCCTCCTCCACCTCCTCCTCCTCCTCTTCTCCTCACCTCCTCCTCCTCCTCTTCTCCTCCTCTTCCTCCCTCCTCCTCCTCCTCTCCTCCTCCTCCTCCTCCTCCTCCTCCTCCTCCTCCTCCACCTCCTCCTCCTCCTCCTCCTCCTCCTCCTCCTACAAGATCGAGGTGGGCTCGGGGAGGGTATCCTAATGTTGTTCGTGTCTGTTGGCTGCTCTTGTGCATCCTGGGGGAAGGGACCCTTGGATGCTCTGTGCGTTTTGGCCGGCGGAGGGTCTCATGTTTTGGGGGGATGTTCTTCCGTCCTAGGTCTGGCCGTCCCGATACCGCTGCTCGTCCTGGAAAACCCTTGTCGCCATCGGGGCCGCGTCCCAGCGCCGATCCAAGAAATCTGTTCGGAGCTCCGGAAGTTGATGTATGTGCCGTTTCCTGTTCCTCTAATTCTCTGACTGCCTCGTTTTCGCCTTTCTGGGCCTTCTGGAAGGCCCGCGTCGCCACGGCTGGATTCGCCTCGAAACTCTGGTTTAGGGCACAAGCCCGGAGAGCTGCCATAGTTCACAACGCGGTGCGCGGCTCCACCGCCGCCCCGCTCTTCAGAAGCAGCTCCTCCTCCTCCTCCTCCTCCTCCTCCTCCTCCTCCTCCTCCTCCTCCTCCTCCTCCTCCTCGGAGAGCGGCGGTGTCGGTGCCTTGGTGCTCCTCCGAGGCCGTGGCAGACTGCGCCTGCCTCGCGAGGCTGGCAGAGCCCCTCGCCGAGCTCGGGGGCGAGAGCCTGGCGGGCGACCTCCAGCGGCTGCCGCCGAAGGGGAGAAAATGCGGCAGAAATGTGCGCAGTCGAGGAGGAGGAGAGGACGACGAGGAGGAGGAGGAGGAGGAGGAGGAGGAGGACGAGGACGAGGAGGAGGAGGAGGAGGAGGAGGAGGAGGACGGAGGAGAGGAGGAGGAGGACGAGGAGGACGAGGAGAGGGAGGAGGAGGAGGAGGACGACGAGGAGGGGAGAGGAGAGGAGGAGGACGACGAGGAGGACGAGGAGGGACGAGGAGGAGGAGGAGGAGAGGAGGAGGAGGGACGGGAGGAGGGAGGACGAGGAGGAGGAGGAGGACGACGACGACGAAGAGGACGAGGAGGAGGAGGAGGCCGAGGAGGAGGAGGAGGACGACGACGACGAGGAGGAGGAGGACGACGAGGAGGACGAGGAGGAGGAGGAGGAGGAGGAGGACAATGAGGAGGAGGAGGAAGAGGAGGAGGAGGAGGAGGAGGAGGACAATGAGGACGACGAGGAGCAGCACCCACGGGCAGGGCGGGGCGCCCGCGGGGGGCAGGGCGCCTCGCGGGTGCCACCGGCGGCCCTGCCAGATCAAGGGATATCAAGGGCACCCTTGTGTCCTGTGCCTCGCGACCCATGCTTCCACACTCGTATGGCAGCATAGCCCTCGGAAGAGTCTCGTGTCCTCTCGCGTGTCCTCTTCCGTCCCCCCCGACTGCACATCGACCCGGAGACAAGCGGCACCACCCCACTTGTGGCCCTCCGTGTTGCGCTACGGCCCATCGGGGGCCGCAGCGCATACCACGCAAAAGCCCACGCCGATCTCCTGGTATACCCTAAGCCTCGTGGGGCCGCAGGTGGGGTGGTGTCGTTTGTTTTCTGGTCCACATGTAGGTTGCCACCCCCCGGGGTGCGAAGATAACAGCGCTTCGCGCGTAGATGGCAGCGCTTCGCGCGTCGCGGCCGGGGGTCAGGGCGGTCGCCCCTGGGCGACCTGGCAACGTACACTTTCGAAGGTCCTCGCGGGATTCCGACGGTTGATTGTCTGCCGTCAACGCGCCTGGTGAGGACGCGCGCCTTCATCTAGGGTGCCCCTGTGTCCTTGCCTCTGCGGCACGTCCTTTGCCGTTTTCGCTGGGCCCGCCCTGGGTTAGGGTACCCCTGCGTCCCTGGGGGCTCGGTCGCCCGCCGCCCAAGAAATCCCAACTCTGGCCTCCGAGGGTCTTGCCTCCTGGCCACCCGTCCTTGACATCGGAGGTGGATAGAGCTCCTACCCTGACACGTCGATTAAGGAAGTGGCCGTTTTCGGTTCGCGAGAGGGCGTCGCGGCATTTGTGCGGGTCTGGGCCCGTCGGTTTCGGTCCCAGGCCGTTTTCACTAAGGGGAGGTTTGCTAAATGGAGGTTTGTCCACCGCCGATTATACTCATTTTGACTGTATGCCGCCCTCTGCTCCCCAAGGCTCTGGGCCGAGGCAGCCATAGCCGACGCCGGCATGTGGCAGGAGGCGCTCATGGCCCCAGAAGGCCCGCAGCGCGACGCGCTGCTGGCCAGCACGTGCTTCTTCAGGATGTCGAAGACCGAAACGGCACTCTCTCTGCCGAGGATGCGGGAGCTCCGCGCGGATTGCTCGAATCTGCGCCGGCCCCCCCTGGCGCCGCCAGCGCGCTCTGCGCGCCACGGAGGCGTGGTCCCAGCGCCGGTCCCAGAAGTCCGCGCGGAGCTCCGCAGGTCTCTGCTCGTGCCGTCTCGCCGCTCCTCCACACGGGCTCACCGAGCGCGCTCCACTGCTCGCAGAGGGCCTGCTCGCAGACGTTCCGCGGAAAGCACATGTTTGCCTCGATGTACGGAGGAGGCGTTTGTGAAGGAATAGTCCCAGGAGGCGCCAGACCCCGAAGGATTCCTTATCCAATGAGGGCAGCAGTGGTATCCATTGTCGATCCACAACTGGAGTTCCACGGGCTTCCAGACCCTGGATTCCTTATCTGAGGCTTCCTCATCCACTGCCCACGCCGTAGTGGATCGTAAATCCCCCGCGACGGATCTGGGCCACTTGCGAGCAGTTACCTCTAGGACCCCTGGGGGGCGGTCTCTGGCCGGAGGGTTCCACATGGGGTTTTTGTTGGAGCTTTTCCAGGAGGGGTCCCCCAGGGGTTTCGCACCCCTTGTTTTGACGAGGTTCCGAGGCCCTTGGGGGGCTCTCTGGAAAACCCTCTCCCCCAAAACCCGCTTTGGAACCCTCCGGTCTGGGGAGCGGCCGCCACCCAGAGGCCAGCCGTGCAGACAGACCGAGCACGTGCTCTGCTTCGGCTCGGACCCGTGCGCTTGTCGCAGGTGCGGTCTCTGGGGGGCGGTCTCTGGGGGGGAAGCGCCCGCCACCCAGAGACCAGCCGTGCAGACAGACCGAGCACGTGCTCTGCGTCGGCTCGGACCGAGCGCTTGTCACGGGTGCGGACGCCAGCTCCGCCTCTCCCCACGGGCTGCGGCCTGACCTCCTCCCATTCCCCGCCGCCAACATGCCCGAGCATTTTCTTTGGGTGGAGGGCACAGGGTGGAATCTGAAATGCCGCTTCGATGGATTTTCGACGCTTGAATCTGCAAAAGGTGGGTCACAAGACGGATTGAGTTTCGAGGCGCAAGAGCCCATACGGACTTCACCCTGAGCCCTCCACCCTGGGAGCCCTCCACCCTCAACCCACCGCCAACATACGCCACCAACCTGAGGAAACAAAATTTCAGCGAGCGGCTTGAATAAGGAACATGTACATACTTTTCAAAAGGGGCTCGGTCGCTCCTTAGGCTCGCATGCGTTATGTTTCGTTCCTTCTGCGTTGTGTATTATTGCATTGTTCCTCATGTGTTAGTCCTTGAAAAAGAAAGGTCTCCGTTCCATATTTATCGTTCCTGTGGTCAGGCCTATGACTGTAGGGGAACGAATCGAACAATGACATACACAAAATAACTGGGAGGTCCGCGCGGATTTCTCGGATCGCCGCTGGGGTCCCCTGGCGGCGCCTCCGGCGCCGCCCCTGGCGCGCTCCGCAAGCCAGGGAGGGGGATCCAGCGCGGATCCAAGAATCCGCGCGGACCTCCGAGCCTTTATGTCTATGTCTATGTCATCTGTCGGCTCCCTCTATTCCCACCGCCGACGTACACCACCAGCCCGAGGGACCCAAGAGATGCTTCTGCGAGTCGTGGAGCGTGCTTTGCCCCCAAGGATGCTGACGTGGAAGGGCCCCGTCGCCAGGGCGGCGTGCCGCGAGCCCCCCCCCTCCGCGGAGCTGGGGGCGCTGTGCGGCACGCTCGAGGAGCTGCGGCCGCTGGCGCCCGCGCTGCGCCTCGCGGAGGCCCTGGCGGCCTCGCACCGCACGGAGTAGCTTCCGAGGGACGCCGGCAGTACGCCACCAGCCCCGGCCAGGACCATCCTGGGCCCTGGACTGGTGCACATCGGCGGCGAGCGAGGGGGGGGGGGAGGCGAGAAGGAGAAGGCCTTCTCAGGAGGCTCGGAGCTCCCCAGGCCTTCTGAGAAGCTTTCAGAGCCTTCCCCGAAGGCGAAGCTTCTCAGGAGGCGCGAGAACTTCTGAGAAGTCCCGCCGCCTTCTGAGGAGGCCTTCTCATTCTCATTTCCCCCCCGCGCTCGCCGCCGAGTACAGACCTTCAGGCCCAGGCCAGGAGTGCCTCTACACCGGTGCAGGGCCCAGGATGGGCCTGGCCAGGGCTGGTGGTGGTGCATTGTTTGGAGCTTTCCTATAGCCGACCAGGGCCGGCCCCGCCCGCGCCTGGCTGGGCGTTGTTCTTCGCCTCCGCGTCCCCCTCCTCTGCCCTCATCGACTACACCTCAGAGTGGCCTTTTGCCGGAGTGACCTCTTCGTGCGGGCCCACTGGGGTCCCCCGATGGCAGAGCGCGACGCGGCAGTGGCCTCTTGCGCGCTTGTGGTTGGCCCCCCCCCGCGGCCCCCACAAAGCCGCGCACCAACGGTCACTCGTACCCAGGGTCGCCCTTGCGTGTAGCCGACCTCATCGTAGCCTCAGGCGGAGAACGGCATAAAACGAGATTGGCGCGACCCTGATTAGAGGAACGCTTCCCGAGCGGCCTTGCTTGGCGTTGCGTGGCGTTGCCTGGCACCGCCAGGAAGCAAGAGCAGGCTCCCCGAGGAGCGAAGTGAGGCAACAGGACGAAGCAGCTCGAGGAGGGCCTCTTCAAGAGCAGCACGGAAACTTGACCAATGCAGCAACCCGAGGAAGATTTTTCCAAAGCAACTAGGGAACAAGACCAAGCAAGCCGAGGAAGGCCAGCCAGCGCAGGCGTCGCGCCCACTGGTTCTGCAAAAGCAAGTCAGAACACCTTAGGCAAGTCTGGCTGGGTAATAAGCTGTTCTGCCATCGGGGGTGCCTGTCCCAGGGCGGCTGGAAAGCTGATACCCCCCCCCCTCCTGCCGCCGTAGAGGTATAGACCTCCCAGCCGCCTTGGGACGGGCGCCCCCGACGGCGGAAAAGTTTAAACGCGGGTCGTTGAAAGTAGGTACGTGTTTCCAGACGCCCAAATCCTAATCTACTTTAGGCGCCTTCCTACTTCAACGATCAAGTGGTTTCACCTTCTCCTTCCTTTTCAGGGGGCGGGCGAAAGCCCTTTCTGCTTCCAACGCCTTCATACTTCACGTTTCTACCCACTTCTTCCGACCGACGTGTAGTAGTTTGTACCGTCCTTCGCCCCTGAAGAAACGAGGGGTCATCAAGGAAGGGGGCCCTGAGGTCTTCCGGGACCCCCACGTGGGCGCGAGGGTACTCGCGCTTCGCGCGTCGCGGCCGGGACCCGAGCGGTTGTCTTTCTCCAGGGCGGCGGCGCGGGGGCGCGGGGGCACGAAGATGATCGCGCGCCGCGCAGCGCGGGGCGACCTAGGTGGAAGTGGGAGGAGGAGGAGGAGGAGGAGGAGGAGGAGGAGGAGGAGGAGGAGGAGGAGGGACGAGGAGGAGGAGGAGGTGAAGGAGGAGAGGTTGATCTTGGGGAAAGCCCCGGGGTTCCAGGAGCCGTTTCCCTCGGGCAATATTCTGCCCCTGATGCCAGTCCTATCCCATCCTGTCCTGTCCTGTCCCATCCCGCCTCCTCCTCCGCCATTCCTCCTCCAGCAGACTTCGGCCGGGCGCGAGGGGCAACAGAAGATACCGTCGAGTTCGGCAGTTGCCCAATTGCGCGAGGCCTTGCTGTGGTCTCTTCGGTTGCCCCTGAACCCCCCCGTTGGCCCTCGGCATTTAAGAAACGACCCCGAGCCCGAGCCCCCTTTTTTATATGCGTCGCTCGGCTCGGATTCTTCGCTCGAGTAGGGGGTCGACCACATATACAGGATTGATTTACCCCGAACATGATTTGTTCGTCGAATCTACGAAGAATGCGTATACTGGTCGAAGATCTACGAACCTTGTACCTAATGTGGTACACACGGCGAGAGAGTCAGGTCCGGGGCAAGTCAGTGTTGTAGTCGATCCCCTGCTCGAGTCGTCGGGGCCAGGACACCCAGGCCACCCGCGGGGGCGCGAAGATCGGGCCGGTCGAAAGGGGGGGATTGGGAAAGGGGGGTTACGAAATTTGCTGCATGCAGCTGGTTTCGGCTTCACCGAGGCGCCCATTCCTCGATACATAGCCGCCTCCGGCGCCGGGAGGCGCTGGGAAAATCAGCCACGTGAGCTGATTCTCAAACCCCCCCTTTGCTATCCCCCCCTTTCGCCCGACCCGAGAAGAGCATCTCGTCCCGCGCGTCGCGGTGTCGCGTGTCGGAGCGCCGGCCCCGCCTCCACGGGCGCGGCGCGAGGGCGCCGGCCGCGCGTCGCGCCTCGCGGGGCGCGACGCGCGGGCCGCCGCGGGGCCCCCTGGTGCAGCAGCCGCCGCGGGCCCGCCGGCGGGGCCGGCCGCGCCGCACGCTCGGGGCGTGACCCGTCCCCGTGAGCGGCTGGCTCCCTCCGCCCCCGTCTCTCACTACCCACCAAACCACCCCAACCCAACCCGAAGGCTCAGATTTACCCCCGATTTCCAGTGGGGGGGGGGTCGGGAAACATCGAGAAAACGCATGTGGAACCCTTACCCCCCCCAACCCGAAATTCGGGTCTTCGGGTTGGGTTGGGGTGGTCTGGTAGGTAGTCACTCTCTCGGCCGCTTCCTCTGCTTTCCCCCCCCCCCCCTTGCACGGGCTGGTCCAATTCGCTACCACGGTACCCCCGTTTCAGTAGCCCTCCGCCAGCGAGGTGACCCTGCCCAGCCGCCGACGCAAAAAAAGGTTATTGGATGTGCTTGTGCATCCTGGGGTGCGCACCCTTGGGTGTTCTGTTTGTTTTGGCCGACGGAGGGCGTCCTGTTCTTGAGGGGTGCTCTTCTGGCCTGGGTCCGACTGTATCT